AATTAGTGTGACTACCTGGGTCATGGGTAAGAACACTGAAATTTGTTTTCAGTTTTTGGAGATGTCCAAGCAGACCAAAAATAGAATCTGTGTGGAATCACTCAGAGCTTGGCATATTGGCATATTTTGAGCTAACCTTACAAAGAGAGAATATTCAAGCTGCTATTTTCCTACCCCTAACTTGTAAAAACTTTATTGACCTATGTTGCTGTACTCAGAAATTACACCAAAGCGTTTAAATTTAGTTTTAAAAGAACAAACCTCTTATATTGTTTCAGCACAATAACAAATAGAAACAAAAAAAATAGGTCTGTCACAGCATTCTGACTGCTTCCAATGCCCCACTTTTCAGCACTAATGCCTAATGCTCCAGTCTACCTATCAATTCATATTCCCAGATAAAACATTGCATATAGAGTTTATTGCAAGCGTTTGCTTTTTTCTTTCTAAATTATCACTTCTTTTTGTTTGCTTAGTCATACAAAATAATTTCAAGGTTAGTTTCAGTCAGAAAAATTATAAACTTAAACCCTATATAGTGTTCCCTTAGAATATTTATTAAAAGAAAGATATATTTTCTATTCTTTCTTTCTTTATTTTTTTTGAGACAGTCTCATTCTGTCACCCAGGCTGGAGTACAGTGGCGCAATCTTGGCTCACTGTAACATGTGCCTCCTGGGTTCAAGCGATTCTGCTACCTCAACCTCCCAAGTAGCTGGGATTACAGGCACACACCACCACGCCCAGCTAGTTTTTGCATTTTTAGTAGAGACAGGGTTTCACCATGTTGGCCAGGCTGGTCTTGAACTCCTGACCTAAGGTGAGTCACCCACCTCAGCCTCCCAAAGTGCTGGGATTACAGGCATGAGCCACTGCACCCGGCCTGATATGTTTTCTATTCATTTTTACTTTTAATTTTTCACAAATATGTTGGAAATATAATCATTTGAATATTTGCAGTGGTTATGAACACAGACTGAGGTTCAATTTTGGCTCAGTTGCTTACTTGTTGTGTGATCTTGGGCAAGTTTTAAACTTCTTTCTAAGCCTCAAGTTTTCATCTGTAAAATGAGAATTATAACAATACCTACTTCAAAGATGTTAAGGGAATTCATTAAATAAAACACATACACAAAGAGCCTAGCATAGTGCTTAGCACATAGCTAAGGAATATTAACTTATTTCTACCAAGACTATAGCATATTTATATGTGTTAATATGATCATTATATTAATGTGGTGAGAAGTAGGATTTAATTGTATACCTTGAGGAGTACATACGTGATAACAATTGTTCCAGATTTCTTCAGTAATTTAGTCTCAGAGTGCTCTTTTAAAAAGTTCTGAATAGATTTTCTTCTTGGAAATAATACTTTTTGAAAAGTGTAAACTTTGATATGTACTACATCCCAAAAGCACAAGTAAAGGAAGCTTTGTTGTATTTTAATGCAAACCACATAGTAAAGCTTTAATTTAATCACCTTAAAATTAGGGGAACAAACAGGAAGTGTTGTAATAATTGATTGTTTTTCCATATTTACCTTATTAAATGCCTTGACCGTAGTCCCAGTTTGGTACCAAATAAAGATATTTATACATGTAATATGCATCCTGTGTATAGATCTTCTGTATTCCACATGCTTTATTATTGAGAATTTCTTCACACTTATTTTCATTTAGTCTAAGGAGAAATCAAGAAAGCCTATTTCCTTAGTCATCCTAGTCATTATCCACCCCCACCAGCCCTCCAGGCTAAGAACATTGTGCAGACTGAGTTATTAAAGTTGATCTGAAAGAGCAATCTGTTCTAAATGACTGTCCCTGGATCTGCAACGGAACCCTGTAAATACCCTTCATTACTCTGGCGGGGCAGTATCACATTTCCTTCATGCCACTTTTGTGTCTGACACAAGTTAGGCAGTGAGATTTGGACTTTAGATCATCCTGGTTGGTTGATATAGGAATGGTGCTTCTTCTGAGACAGGTAACCACGAATTTACTTCTCAGGATAATGTTTTAAAGCAAGTGTTCTGTTTAGTTTTTTTAAATGTTTTTAGTTTTTAAAACTAAGTGGGTTTTGAACTTTTAAGTAGTTTTTTTAAATGTTTTTAGTTTTCCCAGGCAAGCATTTTCAGTAGTTTAGATGAAAAAGAAATTTCTTAACGGTTTCATTGTCTTTTTCAATTACATTGTTGTCATGCCTTTTGTATAAGATCTTTTATAATCTGCTACCCATCTATTGTTTTGGATGGTCAAGAACTTGTCTTTGCTGTGAAAATTTTTCTCATTAAAAATGGCTAAAAAATACATACAGTCTCTGTTTTTCAAAAATACGGCATAGAGGTTTTGTTTAATTTTTTCATCTGATACTGGATACGTCAAGATGAATCTATGAACTTCAAGCAAAACTTACTGAAGCTTTGGTATATGTGAGTAATTTGTTTTAGAGAACTGGAGCCTATAGCGATATAAAAAAATAGCAAATGCAAACATTTTATATGAATCTAATAGCATGGAAATTCTCCCATGCTTTTCATCCAAATGAAGACTTCCTCTGTCATAGATCTTCCAGATTCCTTGGCATTCCTGTGGATCATCCCAATGTGAGTAAATTGTTTCTGTGGCTGACTGACTGAATTAAGAAAACAGCTGAAGGCAAGCACAGGATCGTGTTCAAACCACAAGAAACACATGTGTTGGATGAGCCACTCAACTTTATAGGAAGGCTTGTAACCAACCTTGTGTTTGCTTGCCACTTAACAAAGTTTGTTTTTAACTATGTTGGGCATTAAAAAGTTTTAAAGATTATTTTTTGTATCAATAAACTCTGATGAAATCTTGAACTAGTAGGTTTGTGGTATAATGTTTATACAATTACGACTGAAGATAAGCAAGGTGGTAGCTGGCTTATTTGGGAACAGAAATTAGTTTTTAAAAACTAAAATCTAAAATATGTTTGATGTATTATAACCAAAGTGTTCACAATTGCTAAATATTATTTATTTAAAACATTTATATTCAGTTTTTTTTCAAAGAGCTCGAAAATTGTGTATGGTATCTGTATTTGAAAATGCTGCAGTAAAAATGAAGAGAAAGATGACTGCCATTCAGAATTTCTTTGGTTTCTTATTTATTTATTTATTTAAGACAGAGTCTTGCTCTGTCACCCAGTCTGGAGTGCAGTGGCACAATCTTGGCTCACTGCAACCTCTGCCTCCTGGGTTCAAGAGATTCTTCTGCCTCAGCCTCCCGAATAGTTGGGACTACAGGCACCCACCTCCATGCCCGGCTAATTTTTTTGTATTTTTAGTAGAGATGGGGTTTCACCACGTTGCCCAGGCTGGTCTCAAACTCCTGAGCTCAAGCGATCCGCCCGCCTCGACCTCCCAAAGTGTTAGGATTACAGGCGTGAGCCACTGCGCCCGGCCAGCTTCTTTTTTTCTGTAACTCTTCTTTTGCATTTTACACCTACTTTAATTCTTTATATAGATTCCTAATTTCACTGCCCAACCAGCTTTATTCTACCTTTTAGTATGAGTCTCCTTCAACGTTAGTATTCTATACCTGAGTGAAAGGTGGAATACCAGGCTTATCATGGCAGTTTGCAGGAAAGTAAAAATTTGTTTACTTTTACTGTGTTTCAACATTGCCTTTACTAGCCACCTGAAATAGAGGTTCTACTCTTCTGTGGGAGAGAACTACCCAAGACCCAGCAGCACTTACATTGATATGGCTTAAGATCTGAGTGGGATATGGAGGAAGATCCTCTTTTTAAATAAAAAAAAATTGTTGGCATATCCACATAAATAGAATATGCAGAAAGACAATTAAGTGGTCTTGACATTAGTATCAGCACAAGATTAGGTGAGAGAGCAAATGAATCTGTACATTGAAGCTCTGGATTCCAGTGCTAATGAGAATAACCTATCCAGATAATTCATTTCCTCCTGTATCCTCTTCTTTCCTCAATACCAGTTATTTCCATCTGAATTATTTAAAAGTGTTCCTCATTGTTTTTTTGCCTGTGTAAGCCTAAAACCACATAAAAAAGGTGTAAACCTCCAGTGCTATCACAATAAAGAAATTTTATACCTGTTCAATGTACTATAAATAGTCTCACAATGACTGAAGAGGATAAAGATCTCTTCATAAATTCCATGAGGTCAGAAATTTTTGTGTATTTAGTGCACTACTTTATACTCAGTACCTGGTACACAGTAGGCATTAAGTAAATAATTATCAAATGAATGAATGACTAGGAAGAAACCCTATAAGCAGTTGTGTGACTTAGTTAAGAAAGCTAGATTTAAACCAATGTATTTCATGCTATCAGAATCTAAGAATGACCCTTTTAAAGAATAATAACTAGCATTTAAGTCTGAATTTTCAAAGTCCTGGCTTCTACCATGACTGATAATATTATAGCATCATTTAATCTATACTAAGCAATCAGGTTAACTTTTTTTCAAGTTTATTTATTTATTTTAAATTTTATTATTTTTTTGAGACAGAGTTGCACTCTGTCCCCCATGTTGGAGTGTAGTGGTGCTATCTCGGCTCACTGCAACCTCTGCCTCCCCAGTTCAAGTAATTCTCCTGCCTCAGCCTCCTGAGTAGCTGGGATTACAGGCATGCGCCACCACACCTGGCTAATTTTTGTATTTTTAGTGGAGATGGGGTTTCATCACATTGGCCAGCCTGGTCTTGAACTCCTGACCTCAGGTGATCTGCCCACATCAGCCTCCCAGAGTGCTAGGATAATAGGCGTGAGCCACTGTGCCCGGCCAAGGAATTTTTAATATTAATTACCTTCTCAGCTTTTGCTTAGCCTTTGGACAAACAATTCAAAAAAGCTCTCAGCTTTAAAACGTTAGACCTTAGCTTCTGTTGACTTTTCACAGTCAAATTTCCTAAAATGTATCAGTGATTTAATGAGAGTAAATTTCCTATTGATTAAAATTAAAGATCTTAAAAATTAAGAGTTTTCATGCATTTAAAAATAATGTCATTGTGTTGACTGATGAACTGTGGCATAATGCATTTAGTGTTCATTCCAAACATCAATCAATAAATAACTTGGGCCTCTGGCTATAAGGGAAATTCTATAGGTAAAAGAACTGATTGACCCCCACCCCCTATAGGTGCTGTCCTGCTATGGAATCCCTTTGCTCAGTTTTCTCCTGTCCAATCAGGTGGAATGTTTCACAGGCACATGGTTTATACAGCTCAAAATAACTTGGGACCTGTGAGCTGACAAATGCTCTGGCTCTGGTGGTGACAGGTTGTCCAGCTTCTTACAGCCATCTTCACTGAAACTAAGGTTAACTCCTCACTCTCTATGGACGGCTACTCTCTATTTCCAAGGGCGTGAAGAATTTCCCTCTTCTCCTGTGCTTTCATCTAAAAGTTCTCCCTGGATAATTATCATTGCAGTGGAGTGCCTGGATTGGACATCCTCATCTGGGTCAACTAAGAAAAGAAAGGTAATATCCAGATTTAAGTTCACAAGTGTGTTTTGATAACAGGGCACTGACAGTGGAAAAGCGAGTATTTCAAAGAACTCATTACTGTTACTTGAAATGAAACCTAGGATAACTGTCTAATTGCATATGATGGGACATGAAATTAAGTGAAAAATAAAGCCTTCCACATGTAAAGATTTTGGAGGGGATTGATGAGACTCACAGAGATCACAGCCTACTTGAGTTCCTAAGGAAAAATATCTCGACAGAGGAAGTTGTGACATGTTGCATATCTCATTGGCATTTTCCACACATTCGTTTATTAAAAGAATGTTGTTTATATAGAGAATATGTATGCAATGCCTATTTCCTTTTTAAAGGAAGTTGAATCTAAAATAATATGCCTGCATAAAGACTTTCATTTAAAATTTTTTTTATCATGTAAAAGGATACGCTTGCTATATTTAGTGTTGGAAGATCTGCTCCCTGGATTAATGTACACAACAGCTGCAGAAAGTCTTGCTCAAGGGACATTGCTCTTTCTTTCTCCTTTCTCTCTCTCTCCCTGTCTCTTTCTCTCTCTCTCTCCCTTTTCAGCTGCATCAGAAAGACACTTGACAGTCAGTGGCAAATGTTTGGCCTGGTACATTGCACTATTAGCAGTAATTAGATGCACATCTTGAGTTATATTTTAAAAACTGTATAAGCAAAGAAAAAGAAAAGATAGATTATTAAGCATTTCCAGTCCTCAAAAGTGAACATTACAGTAATGGTGTTAAGGAATTTTATTACCTTATCAACAGATTTTTATATTCTTATTAAAGATAATAACATCGCCTTGAAAGAAACAAAATAGTCATCCAGTTTTCTTTATCAAAAAACTATGATTCAATTACTTTAGTAATAATGAAATGAATCCTACAAACTCTAGATTAAAAATCTGTCATAACTTTATAGTCTCTCAATAATAACAGCTCTTGAGTTCACATAAAATTCATAGTCCTTTTCTAGGAAATTGAGACTGTCTATACTTATAGCTATCATAAACATATTTTTTAAAACAGAAAATAAGATATACTGTCTGACACACGATTTGACTACAAGCAAAATATTTAAAATCAAGGCCGTCCGAAGAAATCTGAAATATATGAATAATATACTTACAGAGGTGTCAAGAGATAAAATTATAGGCATTACAGAATCTTATAATAATGGACTATGAAACAAACAGTTGAACACTATCCAAATTCTGGAAGTGTGTCTCTATCCCCACTTATAGTATATGGCTAATGCTACTGGAACTCATAATAATGTGTTAAAACCCCAGTCTTCCATATATCTACAATTTATAATATAGACACTACTACAATATGCTTACAAAGTCACTTTCAGTAGAACAGACACAGAACCACAATTTATGGACACAAGAAGTTGAATGAGTTTTTATCCAAGCTGGTTTTGGAACTAGTGGTAGTTTTTGCAAATTTGGTTTTGAAGATATGAGACAACAGGTAAATCATGTTGCATTTTGAAAGGGTTTTAACGAACTAATGTTGGTATGTGAAAAAGAGAGAGTTCAATTTTTCAACAGTTAATTCCTACTCATAATAGCATTAGTAGACTCAGTTCACTAACCTGAAAATGTAAGTCAAATCCTCCTGCCAACCCTGGAATAATTGATTTTTTTTTTTCATTCACATTGAGATTTGACAAAGATGCTGCTGGTCTCATGGTGTTAGGTAACAAGATAGAGAAATGAAAGGGTTTTCTTAACAGGTTTTCCCCTCTCCTAGGGGATGAAAAAGACTCAAGCAACACAGAGATATTGTTTAAAATTTCTGTGGTGCTTCATGGTTGACCAAATGCTTTTAAAACTACTAGAACATTACCCATTTGCTTAAAGGGAACAACTCAAGTAGAGACTGAATGGTCCGTTTAGAAATTTAAGAACATTTTCAGCAGATTTATTTTTGGTGGGAACAAAAGTTGGTGGGACTATTTATCTGCAGTAGCTATAGAGTTCTCAGAGTTCATGTATAACCAGAGTCACCTTGACAAGCTCTGTGCAGGCTTCCTGCTACATGGACTTCCACTCGGAGTCACAGCGCACTCCACTCTCAGGGAGGGGCCCAACAAAGCCTCCTGACAAAGTGCTTGAACTAGAACTTGATCTTGAGATCCCTTGGGACACCTACTGCTCTCTCAATCTAGCAAATGTATTATGTCAATTTAATTAGGGAAGTTAGCTTTTTTCAAATCCTTAATTACCTTAAAAATGACACAAATAGTAAGAAGCAGAAGAAGAATGAAAGTGTTAAATTTTTGCATTTAAAAAATAAATATTTGAGTTAATAGGAATTGACAAAGATTTCTCATTTGGGATTTCCTATATAACAGCTTGGTTCACTGTGAATGGTGAGATCTTGAGAGTGACATAAAACCTCTTATACCTATCACTTTTGTGACAACCACTAAACCCTTTTTCTTTTTTGATCCTAGATTCTTGAAGTCTTCTTGATTGCCTTCCATTAGACTTTCTATGGGCCATAGGATTTATTTTTTACACTATTTCTTTTCTCTCTTTCAGATTAAATAGTACCTTTGAGCTCTGGCTGCAGTGTCTTTCACTAGCGCTTCCCTACATGTTTATCATCCTCTGGATACAAAAACATACATAATACGCTTCGTAGGAGCCAGTCTCTTTTTCTCCCACTCCAACGACATCTTTACTTTTTACCCTACATTCTTACTTTTACCAATTCAATTAAAATAATAAGAAGAAAATGGCTTACTCACCTTTGGCCTATTACCTAAAAGTCTTCATTACTTAACCTCTGCCCTTAAAGGAATGTCCCTAGTTAAACAGATTCGCACTGATTCTCTGATAGATCATCTCTGCTCGGCCTCTTGATCTCAACATTCTTTTCTGATGTATACATTTGTCTGTATTTATCTTTTCTTCTTTCAAACTAAAAAATCTTTGAGATAATGAGTCTTATAAGATTTCCATATTATTATTGACATATCATTTCCATATTCCTCAAGTTCTTACTCTGGTAATGCAGTATATACTAATTTATTAAATTACTAATGCCATTCACACCAAAAATAGACTAGAAATAAAACTAAGATGGGATAATCACTCTACTAGTGAAGGGATGGATATTGTAATAGTGTACCAAGTACACTCCATCTGCACCCAGATTTTAAAAAGGTGATCTGTACATAACTCTCCAGGACTGGTTCCTGTTCACTGGGATTTGGTTTTTGACCCAGCAAGAACTTCTCCAAAAGAACTGACTTAGATATTTCTCTAGGGTGATATCATCGGATATAGAAGGCAAAACCAACAGGTTAATACTGGCATTAAAGAGAGGGAGCAAAGTCTATTTTTTTCTTTCCCTAAAAAGCATTCTGGGCATATTAATTACGCATCACCAGCAAAAGGTCACCTCAAATTTGCATAGTGCTCTACAGTTTTAAAGTGCTTTCACAAACAGACCTACGAAGTGAGTAGGGTAGCTCTGCTCATTCCTGTTTTAGATGAGTTACTTAAACATATTTATCTTTTCCTATTCTGGCTCTCTTTAGAAATAATTATTAACTGTTAGGCTAATTTTGGGCCTGCCTCTAAACCAGATTTAGATTACTTGGGCATTCTTTGTTTTTTTCATGAATGTACTTCCCGCACTATAATGAATGCAGAGCAGTGTTTAAAGACACATGTAACTAGGTGCAAGTGGCTCATGCCTGTAATCCTAGCACTTTGGGAGGCCAAAGTGGGTGGATCGCTTGAGCCCAGGAGTTGGAGACCAGCCTGAGCAACATAGGAAGACTCCACCTCTACAACAAATTTTAAAAGTTATCTGGGCATGGTAGAAAGCACCTGTAGTCCTAGCTACTTGGGAGGCTGAGGTGGGAGGATTGCTTGAGCCCCAAAGGTCAAGGCTGCAGTGAGCCATGACCACACCGCTATACTCCAGCCTGGGTGAAAGAGTGAGATCTTGTCTCAAAAAAAGAAAAAAAAAAAGACACATTAAAAAAATAGATTCCTTTTTTTCACCTTTATGAAGGTTTAATTGACAAATTAAAAATTGTATATATTTGTGGTGTACAATGTAATGTTTTGTTATATGTATACATTTTGCAGTGATTAAATCAAGCTAATTAATATGTCCATAGCCTCACATACTTACCCCTTTTTTGTGTCGTGAGAAAATTGAAGCTCTACTCTTTTAGAAATATTCAAGAATACATTACATTATTACTAACTATAGCCCCCATGCTGTACAGTAGGCCTCCATAACTCATTTCTTCTCCCGTGTAACTGGAACTTTGTACCCTTTGACCAACATCTCAGCATGCCTCCCACCCAGATTTGTTTTCTCATTTAAATATCTAATACTTCACAGTCAGAATACTTCAGTACTTATGTTTGAATTCAAGTTACTTCATACTAGGTTTTGCTAATTCTCTGATCAATTCCCCAGCTTAAATTTTCATATTATAACTAAAAAATGAGTTTATTCCATGTATTTCCAACAACAGGGTCTTCTTAGAGCCTGAAGAAAGATAGCACCGAGTTAACATGAGTTGAAAAACATGTCCAAAGGTATCAGCCTCAAACTTCTGTTTTTATGAACCTGACTCACTCTTTCTTTCTTTTTTTTTTTTGAGACAGAGTCTTGCTCTTTTGCCCAGACTGGAGTGTGGAGTGCAGTGGCACGATGATCGGCTCACTGCAACCTTTGCCTCCCAGGTTCAAGCAATTCTCCTGCCTCAGCCTCCCAAGTCACTGGGATTACAGGCGCCTGCCACCATGCCCAGCTAATTTTTGTACTTTTAGTGGAGACAGGGTTTCATCATGTTGACCAGGCTGGTCTCGAACACCTGACCTCAAGTGATCTGCCCGCCTTGGCCTCCCAAAGTTCTGGGATTACAGGCACGAGCCACTGTGCCCCACCATAAACCTGACTCTTAACATTTTCGGAAAGTTCTTAGGGCAGATCCTCTTTTCTGGAAGGGTCATAGGGAAAAAAATAGAGATATTTAGGAAAGTAAAGGAAGTATAGTAAGCTGTCTATGTTGCCAAATTATTTTATGTGATTTGCTAAAGTCTGTCTTGATGGTGGATGCCACATTAATTGTTTCATTTCCAATCTGGTACCATTTCACCAATGCTATGATCTGTTTTCAAGGGCAATTACTCATTCTTATTTTGAAAGTGGGAAAAAATCTAATTTTCCATTTTGTGAGAAACAGAAAAGAGGAAACAAACTCAAATGTCACTGTGGCCAGACGTGGTGGTTCACGCCTGTAATCCCAGCACTTTGGGAGGCTGAGGCAGGCAGCCTTGAGGTCAGGAGTTTGAAACCAGCCTGGACAACTTGGTGAAACTCCATCTCTACTAAAAACACAAAAATTAGCTAGGGGTGGTGGCGTGTGCCTGGAATCCCAGCTACTCAGGAGGCTGAGGCAGGTGAATCACTTGAACTCGGGAGACAGAGGTTGCAGTGAGCCGAGATCGCGCCACGACATTCTAGTCTGGGCAACAAAGTGGAACTCCACCTCAAAAAAAAAAAAAAAAAAAAAAAGTCAAATGACACTCTGAATACTGCAGCTGAAATGTTTAAGAGAACTTATGATTTTATTTCCTGAAACCTGCTCCTACCTCGTCCCAGCAAATGATTCTGCCAATGACCTAGTTGTTCAGGGCATAAATATTGGAGTCATTCTTGACTGCCCTTTCTTTTACATCCCATTTTAATCCATCAGCAAACCGCATTGGCTCTACTTTTAAAGATATCTCAAATATGAGCATTTCTGGCCATCTCCCGTGGCTACCACTCATTGAGCCAAGCCACCATCATCTCTTGCGTAGCATGTTGCAATTGTCTCCTAACTGATCTGCTCACTTCCACTCTTACTTCCTTCAGTTTGATTCTTTGCATAGCAGCCATGATTGAACTTTTTCAAAACCATGTCATCTGCTTCTCAAAACCTTTAAGTGGTTTTCCCTTCACAGGTTTAATAAAATTTGAAGTCCTTTCCATGGTCTGCAAGACCTTAAATGATCTGGCCTTGTACCTTTCTGACCTCATTTTCTTTCGCTCTTCTTTTTCTCGCACTTCTTCGCTCACTGGGCTTGACTTAAACATACAAAACACTCACCTCTTTAGGCTTTGACGCTTACTTCTACCTCAGTCAGGAACATTCTTTTTTTTAACCAGATGGTCACATGAGTAACTTCTCCACTGCATTATAAACTTTGCTCGACTTTGCTAGCTAAAATAACACATCTTCTTCCCTCCTCCATTATTCTCGATCCCCATTTTCTATTTTATTTTTCTTCCTAACATTGAGATTTTACCTACTAGAATGTCAGTTCCATTAGGACAGAGACTTTGTCTTTTGTTCACCAGTGAATCCACAGTGCCTAGAACAGTGCCTGGCACATAGTAGATGCTCAGTAAATATTTATTGGATGAATAAATGAATTATAGGGTACCTATAATAGCACTTGTGATTTTTTAAGTGCAAATTTTATAATAGTTATAAAATTAATGCTTAAAAGATAAAGTTTTTAAATTAATGCTTAAAAAAGAAAATAATTTTCATATTTTTTATTTTGGCTAATGTTTTATCAGTTTAACAATTTATATATGCATTTTCATCTGAGAATCCTCAAAGATAGAATTGTTATCCTATCTGACAGATGAGGATAACTGAGATTCAGATGCATTAAGTTACTTTCTCAAGAAAACAAAGTTATTTAGTGTTGGAGCTGGGATTCAAACCCAGGTTTCTGATTATAATCAGATGTTCTCTGATACTTCTGGTATAAAAGCAAAGCATTCCAGCCTGGCCAACATGGTGAAAACCCATCTCTACTAAAAATACAAAAATTAGCCGGGCATGGTGGCGGGTGCCTACAATCCCAGCCACTCAGGAGGCTGAAGCAGGAGAATCGCCTGAACCCAGGAGGCAGAGGTTGCAGTGAGCCGAGATCGTGCCATTTATAAGAGCGAGAGTCTATCTCAAAAAGAAAGAAAGAAAGAAAAAAAGAAAGAAAGAAAGAGAGAGAGAGAGAAAGAGAGAGAGAAAGAAAGAGGGAGCAAGAGAGAGAGAAAGAAAGAAAAAGAAAGAAGAAAACAAAGCATGATTTCAGTTATTTTATCCACCATAAATAAGTTTTCACTTGAAAGTCATCTTAAAGTTATGACTGCCTTTACCAGTTTATAGTTTTTCTTTGTGTCTATAAGTTTTCTTTGTCCTCCTTTATCTGTCCTATTTTATCCTACAATTAAAAGTAAAAGATAGGCCAGCAACGGTGGCTCACACCTGTAATCCCAACACTTCGGGAGGCCGAGGCAGGTGGATCACTCGAGGTCAGGAATTCAAGACCATCCAGACTGATCAACATGGTGAAACCGTGTCTCTACTAAAAATACAAAAATTAACCAGGCATGGTGGTGCATGTCTGTAATCCCAGCTACTTGGGAGGCTAAGGCAAGGGAATCGCTTGAATGTGGGAGGTGGAGGTTGCAGTGAGCCAAGATCGCACCATTGCAGTCCAGCCTGGGCAACAAGAGTGAAACTCTGTCTTTAAAAAAAAAAAAAAGTGAAAGCTAATAATAGAGTTAGCAGAAAATTCTAATGAACACATTAATTCAACAAATATTTATTAACCACCTTCTATGTGCTATGTGGGTGTAGAGATGATGGTGTACAAAACATAGGGAGACAGAGAAGAAAATACACACACTTAATGTATTGTGATAAGTACTGTGTTTGGAGACTGTGTCAAGGACAGCGAGCTTTGGGAGCACATTGGAGAGGTACCCAACTCAGGGAAAAGAAGAAATCCCAGGGCAGTGATGTCTCAGCTAGGAACCAAAGACTATGTAGGATTAGGCCTGATAAGATAGTGAAAAGAGGTGGGCACAGGAAGCAGTCCAAGCAAAGAGAATACAAAGATCTGAAGTCAACACAGTTAATTCATGAGACAGTATTTCAATAGAATACAGATACACTGAATTAACTATGAACGTACACTTTGGTTTCTCTTCAAATTTTTCCTCGGATCAGGTCACTTCACTGGTTCTGCCTCCATTTCTTATCTATAAAATGGAGGCCATGATACATGGCCATGGTTGTTAAATCATAATAATTATTATAGTAATAGTAACTTCCATTTATTGAATGTTTACTAAATCCCAAGCACATCAATCATCACTTCTACCTATGATATGGCTACTGCTACTATATCTGTTTTACAGATGAGTAAACTAAGGCGTATAGTGTTTAAACTTTCCCAAGTTTATACTAGGATATTAGAAAGTGCCAGAACTAGGATTTGAACCCAGTTCTATCTAACGCCAATGTACTAGGTCATAAGTACTACATTAAAACATTAAAGAAATCTTTATTTTGAATACCTGAAAGTTTTGTTATAATAATTTCTCATAACCATAAACATAAGAACAGGTACATTAACACCTCAATTGCCTTCTTCAAAAAAAAAAACTCATCTAAGAATTTTCTTTTCTATTTCCACCACAAATATAAACATTTTTAAAGTTCTTCAACTTTAACATCACCTTCACCAAAGTATTGTTCTTTATGAACATCAGTCGAATACCCATTATAGTGGCAGGCCCTATTTTAAGGACTTTGCCTTTGATGTTATTAATCCTCACTCCCTTGGGAAACAGATTTTTTCACGTTTTACAGACGAAGAAACCAAAGCTCAAAGAAGTTAAGTAAACTTCTCAAAGTTACATAATTGTTAAGACATGAAGCAGAATTTGGAATTAGATCTATCTGGTACCAAGGCTAATGCTCATTCCATGTTGCCTCAATGTAAAAGCTATCTCAAAATAAAGGGTAAAAGACAAAGTCACATTAAAACACAATATACAGGGTAGGCACTATGCCTCACGCCTATAATCCCAGAGCTTTGGGAGGTGGAGGTGGGAGGATCACTTGAGGTTCTTTTAGTTGGAGACCAGCCTGGGCAACACAGAGAGACCTCGTTCCTACAGAAAATTTAAATATTAGCCAGGTGTGGTAGTGCGTGGCTGTAGTCCCAGTTACTTGGGAGGTTGAGGAGGGAGAATTGCTTGAATCCAGGAGTTTAAGGCTGCAGTGAGCTATGATCATGCCACTATGCTCCATCCTGGGTGAGAGAGTGAGACCCTGGAAAGAAAGAAAGAAGGAGGGCCGGGCGCGGTGGCTCAAGCCTGTAATCCCAGCACTCTGGGAGGCCGAGACGGGCGGATCACGAGGTCAGGAGATCGAGACCATCCTGGCTAACACGGTGAAACCCCGTCTCTACTAAAAAATACAAAAAACTAGCCAGGCGAGGTGGCGGGCGCCTGTAGTCCCAGCTACTCGGGAGGCTGAGGCAGGAGAATGGCATAAACCCAGGAGGCGGAGCTTGCAGTGAGCTGAGATCTGGCCACTGCACTCCAGCCTGGGCGACAGAGCGAGACTCTGTCTCAAAAAAAAAAAAAAAAAAAAGAAAGAAAGAAAGAAGGAAAGAAAGAGAGAGAGAGAGAGAGGAGGAAGGAAGGAAGGAAGGAAGGAAGGAAATAAAAAAACACAACAAACAGTAATGTCCAATGAATAGAGAGAAAGCCATCCTGATTTATAAGGCACTTAATTTTTCCCCCATCTAAACATAAACAGAAACTTAAACGAGGCTAAAGAAATAGTTGAGTTACAAATGAGGATTTTTGGTGTATTAGTTACATTTTCAAATAACATTTTGCACCTTGTTTCATATATCTTTAACCGTTCCTCCATGTAGTTTGTGCACAAATGAGAAAGCTTTTCAGCTGGGGTATCAATTATACTTTCATATACGATTTTGTATATTATTCACTGTTCCACATAATTTAACAAATAGACATATAGTTCTATTTAATGAGTATGTCATAATTTAATTAACTAATTTCTTATTACTGAACATGGTTCCAATTTTTAAATATTATCATGTGATAAACACCTTTGTAGACAAATCTTTGCTCTCCAACACTTTTGCGTTTTATTTTATTTATTTATTGCGACAGAGTTTCACTCTTGTTGCCCAGGCTGGAGTACAGTGGTGCAATCTTGGCTCACTGCAACCTCCGCCTCCCGGGTTCAAGTAATTATCCTGTCTCAGTCCCCCAAGTAGCTGGAATTACAGGTGTCCACCACCAAGCCCAGCTAATTTTTTTGTGTTTTTGGTAGAGACAGGGTTTCACCATGCTGCCCAGGCTGGTCTCAAACTCCTGACCTCAGGTGGTCCACCCGCTTTGGCCTCCCAAAGTGCTGGGATCACAGGTGTGCACCACTGCACCCTGTCACCTTTGCATTTTAGATTAACCTTTTTAAAAAGGCATAATACACTTCATCCAAATAAGTGGCTCTAGTTGGGGCAATCTCAGTCTGTCCAAGTAGGTGGGAAAAATATTTTACTGTGGATGGTCCTTTCAGTCATCTCTAATTGCCTCTCAAGGTGGCTGCCTACTTTGCCAATTCAGAGGTTAGTTTGGGATAGCATTCTAGAAGTTTAGGAACAGGGACAGTTCCTAGGAAGCCTTACGTGTGATATAAGTGACGCTGTCATATAAGAGAAAGGAAAGAAATTAACTGAAGTAAGTTCTGTTATAGGATGTTAAAGCCACAAAATATTTAGATTACTTTTTTCTCTACTTTCCCACACAGTAGCCAAGAATGGCAAATAGTCTTCATCTCCATTGCCATCTCTGATTGGTGATGCCTGAAGGAGTGGAGTGTTAGGAAAGTCAAGGTAAAGGGGGGAAGTACAGTAATCACTGAGCTGCAACTTTTAAGGACGAGAGAGAGTAGTGACAGCCTAAGTCACAAATTTGCCATCCGTTAGTAAATGTTTGAATGAATAAATGGATATAATATTAAAAATACAAAATTGGCTTGCATCATTATATTATTTTCTTAAGACTTTAAATAGTATTTATTTTTTGATCAATTTCTATAATTCTATTACATTCAAGGTAAAGAGGAGAGGGTGGAGAGCAAATCTCTGTGTATGAAAGCGCTTTATAACTAAAAGATCATTATTGACATTATCAATATCAGGCTTAGAAATGTTATTTAATATTATTATAGTTATGTCATGGCTTTCACAACTGAACTTGCATTTAAAGAGTTTAATAAAGTGGTAATCATCCAGGTCTTTATTTGTAGGGAAATTTCATTCCATTCTTATTTATTTCATAGTTTGAGAGTAATATTTAAGTCTTTAAAGTTTATAAAAGGGGGAGGGCACGGTGGCTCACCCCTATAATCCCAGCACTTTGGGAGGCTGAGGTGAGCAGATCACCTGAGTCCAGGAGCTCGAGACCAGCCTGGGCAACATGGCAAAACCTTGTCTTGCAAAAAATGCAAAAATTAGCCAGGTGTGATGGCACATGCCTGTAGTCCCAGCTACATGCAAGCGTGAGGTGGGAGAATCACTTGAGCCCATGAGGTGGAGGTTGCAGTGAGCTGAGATTGCATCACTGCACTCCAGCCTGGGTGACAAAGTGAGACTTTGTCTCAAAAATAAATAAATAGTAAGTTTGTAAAAGTATTAAAATTAGGCAATTCTTTATTTTGAGCTTTAATTTCTAACGAATCTGCCATGCTATAATAGACACAGACTTGTTATTCCCTAGAAATGATCCAAACTTTTTGTTATTATTATTTTGTGATAGCATGCAAGACGACAGCGTAGAAGCTTCTACTTCCATATCTCAGCTTCTAAGAGAGAGCTATTTAGCTGAAACCAGACATCGGGGAAACAATGAGAGGAGTCGAGCAGAGCCTTCCTCCAACCCTTTCCATTTTGGCAGTCCTTCTGGGGCCGCTGAAGGAGGCGGAGGCCAAGATGACCTTCCAGATCTTTCAGCCTTTCTGAGCCAAGAAGAATTAGATGAAAGTGTCACTCTGGCAAGACTAGCCATCAATCACGACCCTTTGGAGAAGGCAGATGAAACTCAAGCTAGAAAACGACTTTCTTCTGATCAGATGAAACACACACCTAATTTAAGTTTTGAGCCTAACTTCTGCCAGGATAACCCTCGAAGTCCCACCAGCTCCAAAGAAAGCCTCCAGGAGGCAAAAAAGCCACAGTATTGTTCTGAAACCCAGTCCAAAAAAGTATTCTTAAATAAGGCTGCCGACTTCATTGAAGAGCTATCCTCCCTTTTCAAATCTCACAGCTCCAAAAGGATTAGACCTCGTGCCTGCAAAAACCACAAGAGTAAACTGGAATCTCAAAACAAAGTTATGCAGGAAAATAGCTCCAGTTTCTCAGATCTGTCAGAAAGACGAGAAAGATCTTCTGTTCCCATCCCTATCCCTGCGGATACCAGGGATAATGAAGTGAATCACGCCCTCGAAGAGCAGGAAGCCAAGAGGCGTGAAGCGGAGCAGGCTGCCAGTGAGGCGGCTGGTGGAGACACCACCCCAGGGTCCTCCCCTTCATCTCTGTACTATGAAGAACCTCTGGGGCAACCTCCTCGGTTCACTCAAAAGTTACGGAGCAGAGAAGTTCCAGAAGGAACTCGAGTACAGTTGGATTGCATAGTGGTAGGAATTCCACCACCTCAAGTAAGGTAAAAATGCCCCACTGGTAATGTTGAGTAATGTTGCTTTCCATCTACCATGACCCTCCTAAGTATTATCCTTTAAGTACGTGGTTTCCAAAATTATATACCGTCTTTGAGAAAAGTAGTCGGTGTCTAAAAGCAGCTTGGTCCAATAGAAATGTAAACCTAGTCACGTATGTAGTTTTAATTTCTCTAGTAGCTACATTTTTAAAAACTAAAAAGAAGCAGGTGAAATTAAAGTTAATAACATACATTATTTAACTAACATATTAAAAACATTATCGTAGGCTAGGCGCAGTGGCTCACACCTGTAAGTTCAGCACTTTGGGAGGCCAAGGCCAGCCGATCACCTGAGGTTGGGAGCTCGAGACCAGCCTGACCAACATGGAGAAACTCCATGTCTACTAAAAATACAAAAATTATCTGGGCATGGTGGCGGGTACCTGTAATCCCAGCTACTCGAGAGGCTAAGGCAGGAGAATAGCTTGAACCCAGGAGACAGAGGTTGTGGTGAGCCGAGATCGCACCACTGCACTCCAGCCTGGGCAACAAGAGCGAAACTCTGTCTCAAAAATAAATAAATAAATAAATAAATAAATAAATAAATAAATAAATAAATAAATAAAATAAAAATAAAAACATTATCATTCAACATGTAACCAGTGTAAAAATTATTATTTTACATTATTTTTATTATACCAGGGATTTGAAATCCAGCGTGAATTCTACACTGACAGCATATTTCAATTTGGATGTTAAATTTTCCTAGGGAATACAGCCTTCATTTTGCCTGGGCGCAGTGGCTCACGCGTATAATCCCAGCACTTTGGAAGGCCGAGGTGGGCAGATCACTTGAGGTCAGGAGTTTGAGACCAGCCTGGCCAACAGGGCGAAACCCCATCTCTACTAAAAATACAAAAAAATTAGCCGGGTGTGGTAACAGGCATCTGTAATGCCAACTACTCAGGAGGCTGAGGCAGAGGGAATTTCTTAAACCTGGGAGGTAGAGGTTGTAGTGAGCCGGGATCGCACCACCGTATTCCAGCCTGGGCTATAGATCGAGGCTTCATCTCAAAATAAATAAATCAGGCCAGGAGCGGAGGCTCAGGCCTGTGATCCCAGCACTTTGGGAGGCCAAGGCGGGCAGATCACAAAGTCAGGAGATCGAGACCATCCTGGCTAACACGGTGAAACCCCGTCTCTACCGAAAATACAAAAAAAAAATTAGCCCGGCGAGGTGGCGGGCGCCTGTTGTCCCAGCTACTCGGGAGGCGGAGGCAGGAGAATGGCGTGAACCCGGGAGGCGGAGCTTGCAGTGAGCCGAGATCGCGCCACTGTACTCCAGCGTGGGCGACTGAGCGAGACTCCTTCAGTAAATAAATAAATAAATAAATATAATTAAAAATTCAGTTATTTAGTTGCACGAACCACATTTCAAGCGCCCAATAACTGCATGTGTCTAATGACTACAATATTGGACAGTGCGGGGCTATAGCCTAAAAATGGTCTCTATGCAATGAATACCTGCAATATTTTTTTAAACTTTAAAGAAACCCAAATAACAGCATAAACACCGACAGAATTGGGCTGAGGGTAAAGTCAATTTAAAGATTCATTATACATGTATTAAATGTATTATAAACTTTCAATGTCAGCTTCATGAACACTATGACTGATGGATAAAGAGGATATTCATCTTTTATTTGCCTACCATGGTCAGCTTTTCTGTGAGGCAAATGCAGTATAAGTTTCAGGAGTTCTCGCTTGCCTAGGCTATGCCTGATTTTGCATATTCTAATTTTATTTTACTTTTTAAAGGAGCCCTTCCACATTTATGAGCTTCAGGTCCCACAAAACCTGGAACCAGCCTTAGCCCCCAGAGTAACATGTCCTACCTTTGATTTTATAATGGAATAACATGTGAACAATATGGTTGAAGTGGATTACTTTTGTAGAGAATTCCTGGAATTTAGAGTCTTACAAGAGTTACTTTGTGTTTGTAACTACCTGATTATTACTAGAAAATGATTTCATTACTATTTAACATTTATTCTCTGTATGTAAATAGGGCATCATCTTTTTATTTCATAATATTCATATTATAGGACAATAGTAGTGTTAATAATAGCATTTTTATTTATACATGCATATTAATTCAAGGGATTCTGGCTCAAAGACATATTCATATATTGATTTTTGCTTTTCAAAGGCAACATAAGGCAATGTCAAATTTATCTCTACAATGGCAGATACATTTGACTATTAGGTTATCCCACTGACCTCCTTGAGGGCAGGGGTTCTGTTGTTTTTACCTTCGTGTCTTGAGCACCAAGCACAGTTTGGGCTCATAGTAGCCACTCAGAAATGTTGAATAAGCTAGTGGATAAGGAAACAGGAAAACAAGAAACTCAACTTAGATTTAAATCAGAAGTGAGACCTTTGGCCTAAGACGTAGCAAAGGGTTGGAACTGAAAACCACAGGGCAGTGTCTGCCCTTCTGCTCTGAACGTGCCTGATGATACTCCCGGAGACTCTGGTCGGTAATGCTAGTGAGATGTCATCACAGCCCCCATGACAGCTACCACTCAGTGGCATCTGGTCAGTCTAAGTAAGCTGGTGAGGACTCCAGTTGTGATACACACAAAACTTAGATTAGTCCTGTCCAATCCATTAGTTTTCTGAACATAGATTGATTATAAAACAAAAATTAGACCAGATCATTCAGGTCTCATCCTACCCATTTTTCAGCCATGACAATCTCAGATACAAGAATGAATTCAATTCACTACTAAGAAATATCAATTAGGAAGACATTCCCCACAAAGCAAAGTAATGTGGTGGCCACTCAGAAACCGTTTAATCAGCCAACTAAAAATTTACAAATCTTCGAATTTAAAAGTGAAAGAAATGTACACAGTTTCCATGTAGCAATGCTAATTTTTCCTGGGAAGAATTTCTTTACTGACAGCATTCATACCTGTATCCTAACCACTGGTTCGATGCTAGGAAATTAGTAGGTACATGCTAAATATTTTCTGAATGAATTAGTACTTAATTTTATGACTGCAATTAGATTAAGAACAGAATTAGAATTTTCCAAGTAGACTAGTAGCTGTCATTTTCCTAAGCACAGAATTTATATAACTCCAATCAGAAAGCAAATATGTATTTATTTAGTTTTTACTGTGTGCTCAGCACTGTGATCAATGCAATGACAGACACAATATAAATATGCATCCCTGCCTTCAACGAACTTGCGATACAGTTAAAGAAATAATCCTAATTTTTATAGTACAAACTTTAAGTAGTGTCAGGTGTCACAGAAGGAGCAAAGGACTAGAAAAGTCAAAGAAGTCTTCAGAGATGTAGGAGGATTTTACTTGAACTTTGAATAGTGAAAATTTAGGTAGAAAGTTTCTTATTTACTCATTCAACAAATACCAATTGAGTTACTAAAGTGATTCACTGGGAGTACAAAACTCCCAGTTGTGAGCTAGTGGAGGTCAGGAATCTTGTTTTGAAACCAAATCTAAAGTCTTCTGAGAGGGTGGCTCACAGTCTAATAGCTAGGAATCAGGCAGACAGCAAACAAATCAATCACTGCAGTATTACATAATAAGGGCTATGACAGGAGTCTGTAGAGGAGGCAGTGGTGGTTTAAAGGAGTATATGAGTTGCTTAGCCTGGAGCACATGATAAAGGAAGCGTTAACTCAGGAGGTAGAGGATGCCAAGCGTAGAGGGGAAAGCAAGTGCAAAGCTCCCGAGGCAAGTGTTATCAGGGAACCATAAGTACTCATCTATGTCAAGAACACAGAGTAAAGGTAAGAAAGATTAGAGATAAGGTTGAAGAGGTAGGTGGAAGGAATGGGTCCTTTCAGGCCAGGTCACTTCAACATGTTATGGAAGGGCACAGGCACTCTAATTATAATAAGATTTTTTATATGGCAGGGAGGACACTGACCAAACTGGAAAGGACAGTAGAGTCAGATGACTTTGAAGAACCTTGAAAGCAAAGCAGAGTAGTTCAGACTTGGTTTCAAAACAAACTGGAAACCATTTAAGGTTGTGTATGGGGAAGTAACAAGATGAAAGGGAGGATTTAAGAAGAATTAATCTGGAAGAATAAGTCACATCTGGAAAAAATGAAGCCATGAAGCCACTTAGGAAGCTGCGGAAGGTATCCCAGGCATCTGATGCTCTGGTGGGACTCGGGTGGGTGTGGTAGGAACGAGGAGGAAAGATGTCAGCGAGCAATGTTTAGAAGAAAAGAAATCAAGCTGAACTTGGTGACACACCACAGAGGGAGGACAGGTATACAAAATTTACTCCACAAGTTTGTGGACCTGGACACTTAAGAGAAAGATGAGGTCTCCAGTAAGGATGGAGGCAAGGGAATAAGTGGCTGGTTTGTGGAGGAGGTCGATGGGAATTTGAGTCTGAGGCGACAGATGGACCATTTCCAACATTCAGGCAGAAATGCAGGACTGAAAGTCAGATGAGAGAGTAGTGGAACTAGAAACATTCCAAGGAATACCCTGGACACTGAGAAAAGCTTGTCACAATATCTCTGTACTTACAAAGGAACTGTAAACACAAGTAACACTTGGAACCAACTTCTAGTTGGTTCAGTCCAGTGCTAGAGTGGAGTAGTGTTTTTGACACAGAATCTCTCTCTCTGTCACTCAGGCTGGAGTGCAATGGCCAGATCTTGGCTCACTGCAACCTCTGCCTCCTGCGTTCAAGCAGTTCCCCTGCCTCAGCCTCCCAAGTAACTGGGATTACAGGTGCCTGCCACCACACCCAGCTAATTTTTTTGTATTTTCAGTAAAGATGGGGTTTCACCATGTTGGTCAGGCTGATCTCGAACTCCTGACCTCAGGTGATCCACCTGCCTTGCCCTCCCAAAGTGCTGGGATTGCAGGTGTGAGCTACCACCCCCCGACCTGGGACACATATATCTTTTTTCTCTCTCTCTCTCTTTTTTTTTTTTTTTTTTTTTTTGAG